TTTAAATAAAATGGCCCCGTCCGTGTAATATATTTTAAAACTTTTAGTTTAAAATTATAAAAACTAAACTTCCTACAGTATTTTTACAGTCTTTCTTTTACAGTTAAAATATATGTTTATTAAATAAAGTCGAATGTTACAACTAATCGGGGATCCCTTTAAGTGTTGTGTAGTTGTGTGCGTTGTAGTCTGCAGTGCCCAACAGATGCACCAATCACATAGACTTGAATGTGTTTTGCTGTGGGATTTCTGAAAGGCATCATTAATGCATGTGTGCACCACCGTTGCCCATTTGGGTTGTTTTCTGGCCCCCCTCCCTCCCTTTCCCCACCCCCCTCACCACACCATCACCTCCAACATCCTGGACTAACCGCTTCAGACGAGTGAGGGAGCTCGAGGAGGAGCTCAGGCTAATGGACCAGAATTTAAAGTCGATGATGTGCGGCGAGGAAGAGGTACCGATCTTTACCCTCCTGCTTTGTGCTCCTCTGGCCTGCAGCCTGTCAGCTTCTGCCTGTGTTCTGTTTCACCCGCACAGCTTCTCTTTACTCCTTTACACAACACTTGATGTGTACAGGACAGATTTTATAAATCTGTTTAACTGGTCTTTTCATGAAGACGTCATGAAAAGACCACAACCAGCAACGAATTGGTTGAAACGCACAAAAATTTCACATTTCACTAAAATTATTTACTTTTACCATTTTAAAAATCAGGTGAGTGTTTTGCTGACTCTCAGATCCTCAGAGCCAGGGGAACTCATTCCCCTCACAAGAGAAAACATTTGGGTGGTCCCACAAAGCAGCATCCAGGGTTTGATCTCTTCCGCCTTTCCAATTACTGCCTTTTCTTCTTTTGCTTTTCTTCTTTCTTACATCGCTCAGTAAATCAGCTGACCTTGAGGAAGAATTGAAAAATGTCACCAACAACTTGAAGTCTCTGGAAGCCCAGTCTGATAAGGTACAGTGAGGGCTGAGAGGGACTCAGCTCAGGGCTGGTCTGATCATACACTACTAACAAACTGTGATCCATGAAACACACAAAACATGTGCACAACTTACTACTGTGATCTAAATCCAGGACTGAAGGTCTCGTGATTCTTTGTTCCATGTAATCTTTGGATAAAAACATTGATAAATAACAGTCATCTAAAGATGCACGAAGAACACAAACTGTTTTCGTAGCAAATAACGGTTCAAATTTGACACTTATTTAAACGTCACGCTGCCTAACTTTCATAACTTGTAAGTTTATTTACTTTTCTTAATACTATTCACCTCATTTCCAAAGAAGCATAAAGAACGAGGTTACCATCTGCATGCTGTGTAAAGTTTGTCTCCTTGTTGCAGTTTAACTGAAATTTGTTAACACGTATTTGTCTTTTTCAGTACTCACAAAAGGAGGACAAATATGAAGAAGAAATTAAAGTTCTTACTGAAAAACTGAAGGAGGTGAGAATACAACACATTTACACAAAATAGAGGTTTTTTTAGAACACTATATTTAATTTAATTCATAATGCAGTTGTTAGCAAGCTTGTTTAAACTTTGTAGGATACTGAAGCTAATGAAAATGATTAAACTCAGTCTTATATAAGAATACCTGCCATATAAAGTAAGGAAATTTGTGTTTGGTAGCGTTGAGGCTTGGTGGCGAGGTGGACACAGAATGCAGGCAGGCAGGCAAGGATCAAAGTTAATAAAAAGCTTTATTAAAGCAAATGCTGACGTGGCAGCAAAACAAGACAAGAAACTCTGGACCATGCATGGAGAACGAGCAACATTGGACAAGGAGGTGGAGAAAGAGAGCCAGTAACACATGAAACATGGGAAACAAGACAACAAGACAAACACTAGAGGGGGCAAAGCACAAGACTTGAGACACCAGATCCTCACGGGTTGATTATTTCTTTGTTGTAACAATTCTTCTGGGAAATAAATCTTATACGCAGCGCCTGACTGGCAGCACCTGGAGGTACCAGAAGCTCAAAACACGAGTCAATATCGACAGTAAAATAAGCTGTTTGGCAGAGAAGGTTTGGAAAAACTTTCATGTGTGCATCCCACAAACTCAGCTCTACTGCTCATCACACAAACCTTACACACACTTACAAATGTGGCATCATTTAAAAGTGAAATTAACAGACTTTCCTACAGTATAAGATTAATTACCAAGAAGTATTGTTACAACAAAGAAATAATCCACCAAACACCAATGTTCTTACTTTGTGTGCTAAGTTTAGATTTGATTTGCACCTTTTTAATTTGTTCAGTGACGATGTTTGAACTGAACTCATGGACAGACAGGAATCATTTCAGTAACATGTCCAGAATGTCTTTATTTGAAACCCCTCTCACCACTCTGTCTCTCTGCACACCTTCTGAAAACTGTTCTTGCAGTCAAACACCTGACTCTGCATTCATTCCTAACATCCTAGATGTTTTTTACTTCAAACACTTAGAAAAGATCATTTACTGCATCTGCTGCGATATGGAGACATCTCCCCTCTTGGGATTGATGGTAAAACATACCAGAAGTATCAAAAGAAAGATTTTGATCATCACAGCCACGGTTTGGGAATTCCATTAAAAACTGATGTTTTTGTGAAAAACAAACAAAAAAAATCCACTTTTAATTATTTTCGTTTTGATTTGTTTTTGCAGGCTGAGACCCGTGCAGAGTTTGCAGAAAGGTCCGTGGCCAAACTGGAGAAAACCATCGATGATCTTGAAGGTATTCAGCTCTTTCCGACAGTAATACTTTTACAACGTCTGCTCCCTGCTGTTCAGTAGTTAATGTCAAAGTTACAAACATTTAAACCAACTAACAGAACTACTATTAAACAACTGAATGACTGGAAAGCTTAACTGTGTGCTGCTGTTTCAAGAGAATTAACTGGAAGATATCTCAAACTGATGATCCTTTGGTTTGATTTACTACCTGCTAACACAACTTGGGAAGTATTTTTTACATAAATATTACTAAAACAGTAATAATGACTCTCAGTATTCTGTTTGTATGGTTTATAAGCAGGACCTTTCAGTAAATTTACTTCTTCTCGTAGATAGTCACACTCATTTACTACCACAGAAATCAGCACCTGCAGTTAATGAGGGAAATAAAGGGTGTGTTCTCTCTGCTTCAGGCAGCTCACTGGTCATGAATGAATGAATGAATGAATGAATGAATGAATGAATGAATGAATGAATGAATGATAAATCGTCCCAAAATACAGAAACAATCAGCCAATGCAAAGTTACATAGTATTTGTGTGTAAATGTTCTAAGGTGATTCAATCAGACCACAAATGGTTCTGATAAAGTATTATGAGTATCTCAACAAATAATATTTGACTTCTAACCAGTAAAATTGATTTAAAGTTTTTTAAATTAACTTTACTGGACTTTCTGCTGTAATGAAAGGTCAAGGTGCTCCAGAACAGAGATGAGATAAAAAAACATGATTCTTGAAAAAGAGGCATCCAAAGATAAACTGAAAAATTAAAAAATCGTAAGGTAATTTAACCACGGTTCCTTTTCAGTCATTTCACTCAGTACAACACACAGCTGTATATGGGACACGCGCGCCCTCGCGCGCCTGGCTGAAGCCACCTCTAATCACGTCTTTAGACCTGTGACGTTGAATGAGCACCTGTCGAGCATGAATGATTTCTAGGCAGGCCGGGCAGGCCTCATGCTGGTCCTTCTCATGAAGCTTAAAGCCGCACCCTTGAGGACAGGGGTGAACAGAAGACTTTGGCTTCTTCGAAGGTGGTTTTGTGCTCATCGTGAACCACAAAACAGATTTTCAGCAGAAAATAAAAGTCACTTAAGTAAGCGTCGAGCAGCAGACACAAGAACCAGCAGGTAACGCGGTTAGCACCAGTGAAGCTAGCCTAAGAACCTTAGACGCTGAGCTAACTAGCAGCAGCTATGTGAGCTCAGGTTTATATGGAGGTAAATTTGTGTTTTTATTATTCAATCAAACAAAAAGCATCTTCAATCAAAAAAAATAATTTCAAACAAAAAAATTTTTTTCAACCAAACAAAAAATAAATTCAATCAAAATTAATA